GTTCCAAACAGAGAACCCAGCGCCACAGGAAGCATCTCACTTACACCAGGCTCTCATCAGATCACACAGACCTGTGTGATCACACACTTGAGGCTGGCACAGCACGGAAGAAAGTATCAGGAACCACGCAGCATCACCACCTGCAGCCCACTTTGGCTACTTCTACTCTAAGGGACAGCCACAGCCATGTCCAGTGACGGAGAGATGGCCAAGTGTCCACGGGGCAAGCAGACTCCCAGCGGACCGGTCAATGGCGGCCCTGGGGGTGATGTTGTTGGGCTGGTGACTTCTGGACGGTTTCCTGGCCTTCCTGGAGAGCTATAAGCTCCTGACAATCTTTGGAAAATTTATTCTCAGCCAAAGTCGCATTGCGCTGTTGCCTCTGAGATCACTGGCTGAAGCAACCCAGGAGGTGCCCAGTCTAATCAACATCAGTCACCTCTTCTCTGCAGGTCTGCGTTTTGCACCAAGGCTTCAGAGGTTTCTCATCGATGCTTAGTACCAAGTATCGCATGCTTTGCTGTTGTTCCATCACATTCTCAGGCGCCTGTAGGTGAATTTCCTTAATGGCAAACAAAGGTGGGTCCTGTCTGAGTCTCTTAATGAGAAAGCAAAAAATACTCTGCCTTCTTAGATGTCCCAAAGGAAGAAAAAGAAAGGGAGTACTTCCAGGTTGTCCAACAGTGTGTGAATTTGGACTCTTTTTGTCATATATCTTACCTCTCCCGCCCAGGGGACACACTCAGCAAGGTGGCTCTCTGCAGCTACCCAACTCCATCGTGGGGCACGGTGGGCAGGAGGTCTTGTGATCTTGGCACAGTATCAGCGGTTTAACATCTGCTCAATCTTCCTTCAAACCCAGAGACAACTATTTTTAAAACAATGATTCTGCCCGTCTCCCTCTTCTATTGTTTATATGATTTTTTTGGCACAGGGGATTGAACTCAGAGCCTTTAGCACTCAGCTACATTCCCCGCCCCCTTTTAATTATTTATCTTGCGGTAGGGTCTCCATAAATCACTAAGTTGGGTTTGAACTTGTGATTTTCCAGCCTGAGCCTCCTAGAGCGCAGGAATTATAGCAATACACCGCCACGTCAGGCTCATTTAGTTTGCTTTTGTATGTGATCGGTATATTCCGAGCTAGAAATTCATAGATGTTAGTGAGCTTGCCCAGTGACTCACCTGCCTCTCAAATCTATCGTTTTCACAGCTCGTGCCACCTGCCTTGTGATCAGAGGACGAGAATGGCAGAGCGCGGCTGTGCTTGTGGATAAATTCCAGGTAAATGTGCCGCTGGGCACAGTGCGAAGCTGGCTACGTTTTGTGTGTGGCCGAGGCCAGCTAGCCACTCTCTCCGGGTAGTGCCCAGCTACTGAGTTCCTGACGGAGCCTTTAAAAATGCATATTAAAGCGATGACTCTTTATAGAAGTAAAGTAATTGCTTTATTATTTAGTAAAAACTGTAGGCAAATGTCTGGGATAAACCTGCACTTCTTAGCTTCTTAAATTATAGCTCATGTGTGCTTTAATTTTGCTTTAAATAATTTTTCTTGTTTTACATTAAAACCAGTGCACGTAACTATTTGCCATTTCACAACCACCCCAGAAAAGTCTTCCTGAGATGGTGTCGGGGTTAGGAATGTCTTTAAGGAGGTCTGGGCTGCCAAGAAGTGGGCAATGCTGCTGGCGCTGTCTCCCTTAAATCAGAGTGTGTGCAGGCCTGGGCTGGGCTTGTTTTAAATATTAAGAAAAACTCAGAAACTGCCTCAGACAAAGCCACAGAACCGATGTGTTTTGCCAAGACATTTGATAGCTTTTCGAGCTACAGAAAATTGCTGAATGCTTCAATGACAGACAGGGTTTTTTTTCTTTTTTTTAACAAGAAAGCATACACACACACACACACACACACACACACACGTGGGTGTGCATTTACACTTACTTATAGACATGTGTGTAGCATTTCAAGTGTCCAAGCCTAACATTTTACAACTGTATTTGAAAATGCCCTACAAACATTATAAGGATATAACTATAGCAAGAGGGAAGACAGTGCACCTTTGGAAGTTCAAAAAGCAACGTTGGGGTGAATTTCTAACCTTGAGATTAAAATGATGGTGGGTGCAAGCAGGGATGGTAAGAGAATTTTCTAGAGCAAACCAGAATGGAGTGGGGAGATGAGATTAGCAAGTGTGTGGGTAAAACTGAAATATACGAACACTAGTAATGCAGAGATCACCTCGGAAAACAGCACCCTGCACATCTGTTTCTTTGTAGTCCAGCAAGTCCCTAGGGCTGGAGAGGAAAGGGCTGCATGGCCATAGGCAAAGTTGGAACTGCACAAAGGAAGGAGGGGCGAAAGCCTCACAGCAGAAGAGGCTGCAAGGAGAAAACAGCCCCGGCCTCCAGCCACTGCCAGGGCTCCCTGGGGGCCGCTGCAGCACCCTGTGAAAACCTTAGGACAAGCATCCTCTAAGGTCTCCAATGGCTCTGAACTCAACCACTCAGTAGACGAGTGTGTGAGTGGTGCTGGAGTTTGGGTGGGTTTTTTTTTTTCATTTTCTTTAATTTTTATTAGTACATGTTTGCAGTATGTGATTACATTCATTGTGGGGAATTTGTTCATGTATACAACACATCTTCAGGGGCCAGGGATTTAGCTCAGCCATTCCACTGCCTGCCTTGCAAGTGCAAGGACCCTAGTTCAATTCCTGGTACCAAAAAAAACAAAAAACAAACACACACACAGTACATAACACATCTTAAATCTTCTTTTGTCCCTTTACCTTCCCTCTCCTTCCCTCCATCTCTTGGTCCTCCTCCCATTTGCAAAAGATCTATTTCCCTGTTTCCTATTATCTATCATTTATTCTGCTCTTTTTTGAAAGTTGGCATTTCTCACATAAGGCAATATTTAAGCTCGTGTGTCTGACTTTATTTCATTTAACATTATGGTCACAAGGCGTAAAGGCACCAAATGGGTCTCCCTGAGGGATGTCTCACAAATTCATTTCTACTCTTACCCATTTCATCTTTGGAAGAGAACAGGAAGAACCAGATTTTATTACTATTGTAATTACTGTGGTTTTTGTTGTTGTTGGCAGTGCTGGGGTTGAACCCGGGGTCCCACACATTAGGCAAATGCCCTACCCTTGAGCTCGAGCTCCAGCCCCAGCCCCGGTCTCCACTGTAGTTAGTTATTCACACATTTTGATTGTGCAGATTCATGGACTTCACTGTGACATTTCCAGACATTCACATCTCGCTCTTGAGCATCACATTTTTGTACAGGCAACCACTTCAAGGGTGTGTGAGTGATCAAGGACATTAGTAAGTCTCAAAATAAGCAACCAAACTTAAGACAGAGAGGGTCTGGAGGAGAAAACCTCCAGGTTCTCAGTGCACCGGCAGGGACTATTGTTGAAGACATTCCTCAGGTGGAGCTCACTGAAACATGGCTCAGTCAGACTGACTCTCGGTCAGAATTGGCCCCGAATACTCGCCTTCACGTCCAGCCTTAGAGTAGGGGAAGAGTCCCTGGACTGACCACAGTGGCAGTGTGGCGGCTCTTGGACAGCCAGAACACACAGACAGGTGGTCCGGGAGAATGGAAGACACACTGGGAAGTTTTGGAGGCAACGTGTACAGCTTTATTCTTAACGCCAGCGGATCAGCCTGGAACTGCTCCACAAAGAGGCCGACCCCCTCTTTGGGGTTCAGCAGGGCAGGTTACACTCTCCGGAGGGGATGGGCTTGCAGGAGGTAAGCACTTTGCACTGGTTACATAGAGAACAAGTCATGTGGTCCCAGCAAATTCACTGGTTATCAGATATTACAGACAGCACGCTCAGTGTACAGAGCCACGTCTCACTTACATTTGGCTGGGAGATAGGAGTAATAAAACTGAGAATAAAAAAATGCCTGAGATTCTTGAGAGAAAGTGTTGGGAGCCTGGACACATTGAAGGAATGGGGGAAATTTTTCCACCAGTAAGTTTGGCTTTAACTGCAGAGAAACAAGTTCCCCATTCAGCAGTAGCTGTGGGGGTTCCTCAAGGTAAGTGGGCTGTCATGGGGTGCGGGCAGAAAGGAGTCTGCATTGGCCAAGCGCTTGTATGCATACCAGTCTTTGTGTGAGGCTGCCGATTCTGTCGTCATCTTCAGTGCCCATCATTTTTTTTTTTTTCCAGTTCCTGGGATTGAACTTGGGACCTTGCGCTTTGCAAGGCAGGAAACGGAACCACTGAGCTAAATCTCCAGCCCACCCATCACATTTTAATGGGAATAAGTTAATTATTTTTGAGTGAAAAGGCAACTGTAGAAATTTGTTCAGAATCACAGAGTGGTGCCAAAATATCAATCAGAAATATTTGATTCCACCATTTATGCCATTTTCAACATGCCAAGAAAATTCTTTTAAGAAGTCTCAAGTTAATTTATTAATTCTCATTCAACCCATCTATTTTTGAAAAAAATGATAAATCTCCAGAAATATATTTCTTCAGGCCAATGAAATTAGAAAATACTTCAGACTGGGCCTGGGATTTAGCTCAGTGGTTCCGCCACCTACCTCACAAGCACAAGGTCTGGAGTTCAATCCCCACTACCCAAAACAAACAACAACGAAAATACTTCAAACTAAATGATGGTGAAAAAAGACATCACAACTTAAGAGCTCTCACTAAAGCAGGGCTCAGAGGAAAAGCTGTAGTCCTAAAACACATGTACAAGAAAAGAAAACACCCTGACAAATCAGTGACCTGAGGATCCATCTCAAGAAACTGAATGAAGATACTCAGAGAAATTAAAAGACACTTTAATACTTCTAAAAATAAAGAGCAAAAACCAATTAAATAGGAAAAAACAAAATTAAACAGAGGTTCTTTTAAAAAGCAATACAATACTTAAATCCCAAGCGAGACTAATCTAAGAAAAAAAGGGAAGAAAATGTAAATGTCCAGTATCGAGAACAAATACATTTTAACACCTGACTCTGTATATAAGACATTGAACATGAGCAGGAAGAAGAGGAGGAAACAATTAATCTGTTTGGACATCATCTGGAAAAATCACATTCTAGATTGTGCTGTGTTTAACTTAATCCAACACACATCTGTTGGAGGAGAACATAAGATGCTATCAGTTTGGTATTTTTGGTACTATATGCCTAGGAGAGGCCACATATACTCTGGAGCTGAACAGAGCTGAGTTCAAATCCAGATCCTGCCTTGATACTAAATATATGATGTTAGGCACAGGGAAGGTACAAAACTAGATCAGGAGGCAAAGATGTCTGCTGTACTGTCTTCGGAAAAGTTTGAGCATCTTATTTTCTTAATTTGCCTGTTTTAATAAAAAAGGTTTGGTGTGATCACTTTTCAACAGGAAGGATGTTACCAGCTGGACTAGGGATGGTGCTACAGCACTTGCCTACCACACATGAGACCTTGGTTTTAATCCCTACCACTGCCGAAAAAAGGGGAAAAAAAGTTACCAATATATAAACAACATAAACACAAAACATGAAAATTGTAAAAAATAATTTAATATAAAAATTTCATTCTAATTTTATACAAGTTTTTCCTTGAATATTAGTGGAACACAAGAAAAACTATGCGGATAACTTAAGTTATCTTAGTACTCTGAGGGACAAAGCTCCCGTCTTTGGCGTTCACCTTATGACCAAGAACTTTCCCCTCCAAATCTTCAGCTCTCAACTGGGGCGTCGCTGAGTCTCACATATAACACGGGCTCCAAGATCCAACGCAAATGTGACTCAGATCTTAGATGCACAAGACGAATGCTCGATATTTTTCACACATTGAACAAGCCTGGCCGGTCTAAGAGAGAAGAGCAAAAAGAGGAGATCAGGAAGAACACTGACACATTTATGGTTCTATTCACCAATGAGAAAAGCCCCTTCCTCAGCAACAAAAGTACACGAAGACCAATGAGCATCCACACACGCTCTTCTCCTTGTGCCATACACAGATGACTTCAAAGTGTGGCCGATCTCACTCCGCTGCTCGTTTCCTTTGCTGTGCAGAAGCTTTTTAATTTGATAGGCTCCCATTTGTTAATTCTTGGTATTATTTCTTGTGCCACTAAGGTTCTGTTCAGGAAGTCTTTGCCTACCCCCTTGTTTTCAAGAGTTTTACCTATTTTTATCTTCCACCAGATTGTTTCTGTCTTAACATTTAGATCTTTGATTCATTTTGATTTTAGTCAGGTAGAATTCATAAAGAACTAAAAAAAAAAATAGAGCCCTCAAAATAAAAGACAATCAAAAAACAGGCAGCTGAAATGAATAGACGCTTCTCCAAAGAAATACAAATGGACAATTAACACAAGAAAAAAATGTTCAACATGCTGGCCATTAGAGAAATGCAAATTCAAACCACACTGAGATTCCATCTTATACCAGAAAGAATGGCCATTATCAAATATCAACTAACTGTAGGGAAAGGGGGAAGGGTAGGGCCAAGGAAATAAGGGAAAAGAAAAAATATGAGAAAATGAAAACATGGAAATAGTTTGTTAATGGGGGGTGTGAAGGGAGGGCAGGGACAAGGGGAAAAAATGAGAACCAAGACCTGTCATGTGAAGGTACAGGATCCCAGTAATGAATGTAACTGTACGGTAGACCTAGATTGTACCAATAAACTCAATAAAAAGAAAAAAATCAACTAATAATAAATGCTGGCAAGGGTGTGGGGAAAAAGAAAATCGCCTACACTGTTGGTGGGAATGAAAGCTATGGAAATCCATGTGGAGACTCCTCAAAAAATTAAAAATAGTAATCCCATTTGATCCAGCTATCTCCCTTCTAGGGATAGTCCCAAAAGAGTTAAAGTCATCATATTACATCCACACCTATGTTTGTGGCAGCACAATTTATAATAGCTCTTGGAAACAACATATATGTCCATCAGCTGATGAATGGACAAAGAAAATGTGGCCGTTGTATGCTACAGAGTACCACTCTGCCATAAAGAAAGATAAACTTGAGGCATTTGTAGACAAATGGATGCAACTTGAGAATATAATGTTAGGTGAAATAACAAGCTTAAATATTGCATTGTTTCTCTTATATGAGAAACTAGCCACATATAGTCTGACCATAAAAATGTATACACCCGTCAGCAATTCACTGAACTAATAAATGTCTAGAAGCTAATAACTACTATTCTGAGCACTTTTTGCAATTGTAGAGGCCAAGGGTAACTTGCATCAATCTCACGATGTCTCAGTAAGTTTGATATTAAAATATTTATACAACTTTTCTCTTCCTGATGTATACATTTTTTGGCAGACTCTGTATATATTGGTAATTCAGTTCATGAACCTGATTCTTTCCATAATTCTGGTCACAAATTGAGGTGGATGAGAACTGAATCAAATTCAATGGTGAGGTTCAACGTTGATTTCATGGGGGAAATCTGATTTGGTTCTCATCCATAGAAGAAACAGAAGATAGATAAATCAGAAAGTAAGGATAAGTTCAGATCACTTCCCAAATTATCAATTCCTTGTTTAAAAAATATTTTAAGATAAATGCTAATTTGTTTCATTTATACTACTAGTTTCTTTTGTTCATTGAAAAGAAACTTTTGCTGGGCGTGGTGGCACATGCCTGTAATCCCAGCACTCAGCACTTGGGAGGCTGAGGCAGGAGGATCGCTGTGAGTTCAAGCCCAGCCTGGGCTACATAGTGAGTTCTAGGTCAGTCTCAACTACATAGTGAGACCCTGTCTCAAAAACCCCCCCAAAAAAAAGAAAAAAAGGAAAGAAACTTTGATCCTTTTGTTTGCTTCTTTGTAGGAGAGAGTTTTGGTTTTGTCTGACTTGTACTCTTGAGTATCACTTTGGTCACTCTTTTAAGATCATGATACACAGTGTATTAATAACTGCTGTTCTCTAGTTTGTTATGAAACTTTGTCTTATTTTTCCCTAGAATTTAAAAAAATTTTATTAATACCTACTTGCATTACATTAAAATAAAATATTTTTTAAAATTAGATGTATTCAAAACCAAAAGAAAGTGTGGTCCCATTTAGTTTTGTTTCATTTGCAAAGCCATAGAAATAAGAACCAAGAAAGGGTGTTGGGTGGTCATAGGTGGAAGTGAGAAAAAGTATCTGGCTTGGACCATGTTGGCAGTGTCAGCTGATGACTGAGAACCCGCAGAAGTGGCCCCTGGGACCTAAGACTCCCACAGTCCCAGATGATGATTTGTTTTCCTCTGTTCAGAAACTTCTGCAGGGATTGTTGGGTCAAAGACCAAGAGGCAGCACAGGTGTGGTAGATCTTGCAGAAGGCAGCTGGACATCACTGGCAGAGGACCACCATTTTTTTCTTTATTCAGTTTGGCTTTGGTTTTGCAATACTAAGGATTGAATTCAAAGACTTTGCCCTGAGCTACATCCCCTGCCTATTTTTCTATTCCATTCTATTCTACTTGACTCCACTGGGCTGACTCATCTTCTGTTCTGTTCTATCATTCCATTCCATTCTGTTCTGTTCTGTTCTATTCTATTTTGGAACAGACTCCCGCTACGTTGCCCAGGCAAGGTTCATCATTCTATTCTACTTGACTCCACTGGGCTGACTCATCTTCTGTTCTGTTCTATCATTCCATTCCTCTGTTCTGTTCTGTTCTATTCTATTTTGGAACAGACTCCCACTACGTTGCCCAGGCGAGGTTCAGCTTGCAATCCTCCTTCATCCTCCCAGACTCCCGGCTTTCTAGGTGTGCACCACCATGCTGGGGTTGCTTCACTTTTTTTGCATAGCATAAACTTGAGATAAGTATCCAAGAGGCAAAAGACTATCCTTTCCATAAATATGAGATAAAAAGCCACAGGATCCAAAGAGAGTGGTTCGGGTGGGGTGGGTAGCAGTGGAAGTGTTCATTAAGTTATAGTTAAATCAGATTTTGCCACGTACAAGGAAGAGGACACCCTTGAAGTAGTGGCTTCAAGGAGAGGAGGGAGAAGCATCAGAACTGTCACGAACATGTCAGAACTGTGCCGAGACCCATCTCAGGCTCATCTGAAGCCAACTGTCCTGACCAGCTGGGCACAGTGGCCGTAAGCCCAAAGTTACACCATGTACCAATATGGTAGCCTGGGATTCCCCACGTGAACACATTCTAGGCCAAGAGAGTACCCTCTTCCTTAAGGAAATCTTGCCATGGAAAAGGAATCCATCTAAGTCAGTTAGGACTTTCGAAGCTACTTTTGCCTCTATTCAGTAAAGGGAATATGATTATGCTTAGTTATAGTTTCTGATTAATTGGGACTTCCATTATAGAAAAGCAGCAGCAATTATATTGGTAAGATGTTTCCATTACATATTCACATCTAATGTTCTAATAAAATGGACACACCTCTCAAATGTTGGGTAATATTTTGAGGAATGGACCCAGAGTGTATTTTGAAGTAATAGAGGAATTAGTGTACTCCTTAGAGGGATTTTTTGTTGTTGTTTTGAGTGTCTTTTTTTGTTTTTTGTATGTCACGAGGGAACACCAACCAGATAACACATGCTGATCATGTGCTGTTTTTATGGGAATCTAAAAAAAATTGTTAGTGTTATCCACCCACTGGTTAAAACCTATGTTAACAAATTCTGTACATATTTTATCAGGAGTGTGTGTGTAAGGAAAATTCCTAAAGGACACAAAGCCAAGTGTCAGCAGTGATTTTTTTGAATAGTGGGATTCATGAAGGGTTAACATCAGAATTATTAAGAAGTCTAATCTATATAAATGTGATTACTAGCTGTGCCTCTATATTCTTCTCTGATGGAGAATGTGTTCACCTGAGCATAAATGATGGTAATTGATAGGTTTCAATATAAAGGGTTCTGGCCACTAATGAGAGGTGGGGAAATATTTAACGTAGTAAAGACTACTGAGATAAGACCCCTTTCATGCCCCAATCTTCTCCCACGCCTCCAGTACTCCACTTTCTCCATGTGTAATATCTTTGACTAACTCAGACTGGTCAGTTTCTCCTATAGTCGGTCCCTAGCTCATTTCATGGCTGCAGCTGCAGCTTGGGTGTGCGATTTTCTGGCTGTTTCCAGACAAGAGCCAGCTGAGTGATGCAGTGGAATTTGGAAAACAAGAGTCACTCATGAGAGCCCTTCATCTATCCTTCTGTGTTTGTGATGTGGCTGATGGTATGAAAAGACAGAAAAAATATCCTAGTAGTTCAGCTTCTACAGTCTTTGAAAACATCTTGGTCTCTGCATTAGTTTTGTTTTGAGTCACTATACGCAGCTCCAAAGATACTTCTAGTCATGTGTCCTCACCTAATATTATTGGCTAGAACTACTTAAAATGAATGGAGGCTGAGTTCAGTATGCAGTATGGCAAACAAAAAGAGAGGGAAAGAGAGAGAGACCCAAAAAGAGAGAGAGAGGAAGAAAGATAAAGAGGTCCCAATTTTGAAAGCAGAGTTGCAGAGTTACAGGTGACATA